ATATATATATATATATATATATATATATATATATATATATATTTTTTTTTTTATTTTTTTTATGTTTAATTCTCATTAAATCGACATTATTATTGTATACAAATAGAAGTATTACTGGCTACGATAATGGCTTGAAGTAATATGTACAATAAAAATAATTATATTATTTAACACGGGAACTAATCAATTTAAATAAAACCAATTAAATCTACTTGAAAAGCATACAGATTCATGCTTTTATGTGTACGTATATATATATACAATTTTAATTTATCAAACGCTTCTTGAAATTTTCGTGTTAGTAATATAATATTATTAACATACAAAATGGACAATATAAATCTTATGTACAAATTGACTTAAATATTAAAAGATAGATATTGTAATATTTTTAGAATAAAAAATTAGGCAATAAAAATAATGTTTCCAAATGAGATAGAATTTTTCACACTCTTGAATACCTACAAAAATATCAAATATTACATAATAATAGTATATGAAGTAATATGAAAAATAAAAAGTTTGTACTTTAAATTTCAGCTTCTATTTCTATTCCAATGAATAAATAGTGTCGATAATAAAAATATATTATTTACACGCTTACTAGTTATTATTTAATCCTTTTCCTTTATTTGAATAAGTTATTGTTAAAATTACATTTTAATGCAATGTTTATTATTTATTTGATTATATTTTAAATTTTGAAAATTTTGTCAGTATGTTTAGAACGCATCATTTGTTAAAATAACATTTTATTATAAAAGAAAAATACACTAATACTTCAAAGCATAGAAATGTTTCAGATTTGTCATCGCAGTAACAATATCATCAGGGTGAACATTTATGAATTTGAATGAAGGAATACTTTCGTTTACAATGCTGACATCTCGAAGACTTTTTTTTTTACCAAACAATAAATTTAGTGTAATTCTTGTAAAAGAATGCATAATGTCGTCACACGTCATTTATTCTCACTGTATATAACATAAAATATATGTTACCTTTTATTTATACGCTTTGACCATTGTAATAAAGCTTTTAATTGATATATAATTGATAAATAATTCTTTCATGCCATTTTATTTAATTAATTATTAATTTTTTTTTTTTTTTTTTTTTTTTTTTTTTTTTTTTGAAACTAATGTCATTCATGTATTATCCGAAATTATGCATAAGCAGATTTTTCTTTTTTGATTGGTGTTGGTATCATCTTTCAAAGTAATTAATAGCTTATATATATATATATATATGTATATATTTTGCATGTAGTATATTATCCGAATTTCTTAGTTAATTATCCTTATTATTACTTTTTTTTATTTTTATTAATTAGTTTTTACATTGATTTATTTATTTATTTATTTATTTATTTACTTTTAATTATAATAGAATCGGATTTTTAATGGAAATAATGTACAACTAACATAGATTAATGTTACGTAGCAATATTTTATTTAATTTGTTTTATTAGAAGTTTCGAAAGATATATGTACTAATAACGACAGCGGACATTATTTATTTAACGCAACGATATACCCTTCGTCGATTATTCGTGATTTGTTGCATGAATATTATATTAAATCGAGTAAATTTGTAATTATTTGTCAAAATACATATTACTATTCGTAAAAGGTGCTTTGAATTTCCATTCGTCCATTAATATCAATAAATGGATTATCGTACATAAACGTTAAAACAGATGGCGCGATGCCCCAAAGCTCACGAATGCTGCATCGAGAAAGCCTGCAGAACATTAATAAATACTTACACATATAAAGCCGGATTAAGCGGAAATCCTGTCGGCTTGCCGTTTCATTTGTTCTTTATTATCGCCCCGCTCCATCCCGCCCAGGTCTCTCCACCCACCGTCCCTCACGCCCCAGCAATAGCCCCTAAGAAGAATCGCAGCACACGGGCAAAACGACTCAAATCTCTGATAAAGTTATTAATTGATCAGTTTCAGGAAAGACCAGTAGACTGAGCATGATATCGCTGCTGCGTCGCAACCGCAAGCAAAGTGCTAAGGGCAAGGAAGGGCCGCTTACGCGCAGTTATATCAACGATCAACAGCAGAACGACTCGAAACTCTACCACGACAGCTCGCTGGACAGTTTAGTCTTCGCGGCGTCTCTCGGCCTCGTATCGACTCAACATCAGCACACACCGAAAGACATGTTACTGATGATGCAAGACGAAGCTAAGCAGAAGCAGCGCCAACAGCACCTGGAGTTCCATTGTCGATTTTGCGGCAAAGGTTACAGGTGGAAGAGCACCATGAGGCGGCACGAGAGCCTCGAGTGCGGCGACAAGCCCCCGTCGTTCCAGTGCCCCCAGTGCCCCTACAAGGCCAGGCAGAGGGGCAACCTGACCGTGCACCTCAAGCGACATCATTTAAAACGAGAGATCGATCAGCCGTGA